TCCAAACCCTTCGCCGAACTGCCCCCCCCCCTCCAAAGTTATTCGTATCTGTGGGGCCTACCCAAGCACTAAAAATGCATCAAAAACATGCATGCGTCAGAAATGATCCCAACTCCCTTCACCTCCCCCCGTCCCCCTCCCCCCTTATCCCCCAATCCCACAATGTGTGTTTAACGTATTGTGTACAGTGTGAGACAAGGGCGTAGCCACATATTTCTCTCTGCAATGTTTCATCTGATTTATGTGGCATTCCTCTAAAGTTTTGAAGTTAATAGAACACGTTTTCAGATAAGCGAGACATATATTTCATCCGAAATTGAAAAGCCAGATGAATTACTGAATACGGATGTGAAAAATGATGGAATGATGTGAAAATATCCGTCGCAGGACGGCATACAAAGTGATAATAGCGTGTGCGATTTGAAAACTGGAGGTTTTCAATAAGGTCTGATACTGTGCACTAAAAAAGGTTTTGTCGAAGTACAAATTGATGACAAAATTTGAATAAGTGGATAGATTGTACCAAAAATGTACGCTCTTACATAGAATGCAGCGAGCTCTTATCAGTTCCCTGATCAAATAGGAAGAGTAGTGTGTTCTCGCTGATAGAGCCGTCAAGACGTCACGAAGGAGCATTTAGCTCGCGCTACCGTTGCAAATGAACGATTAACCTGGTCCATACAGCTGGACAATTCTTGTAGTCAGGCCTCTCTTGAGTTCAGGAGACTAAACCTCAGAACAATACTTTTATAGTCGTCTGGCAGCTTTTCTCAATGATAGCGCTGGAAACATGAATCGAGTCCAATCATACACTATACGGCTCGGTGATTCACAGTCCTGCTCGCAGATGATGGAGCTTGGCAAGGGGGGGGGTCACACGGCGTCACCCCGTTTCCCACTACTCTTACTTGCTCGCTCTCGGTGGAAAACTATCTGGTGCCCTGGCGCCATGCCAAATCCAGCCTCTCCTGAAACAGCGTCCGCAGCGAACAAGGCTGCACTAAGGTGGTCGCTTTTTTCCTAATCTGCTTGCAATAGAATGTGGTGCCAGCAGACGTTCTGTTGTTGGGAGGATTTTCTACGCTGTGCCAGCTCGTTTTGTTCACTCGAAGTCGGTAATGCTTGCTACTGTGGGAAGGATCTCACCATCAGCAGTCTTACGAGCTTGCCATGCTGGTATCGTAAGACCTGAAGCTTTCATGAATTTGAGGAGTCAGAGGTTATAGTGGCCACTGCTCCCTTTGGCTAAGTATCCCCGCATTAGTGTCTGGCTCTTGTCACCCCACTGTGTTGCTGCACTTTCTTATCGAAGTTTTTCTGTTTCTTTTCTGATCTTTGCTGTTGGTAGTCAGAGCGCCGATAACATATCGTTGAATCGTTAACCATATTCTGCTTTTTCCTGTTCGCATAATTATTTATAATCAGATATGTGTGCTGGCCCAAGCGAAATTGACAAATATTCTCGTACTTCTCTAAGGGTTTGCAGCTTAATTAGCAAATCGAACTGGGGGTAATTCGTCAGAGAATGCTCTTTGAAATGACTTTTTCACATCCTTCAACCAAAATCTTTTTTACGCCCTGTACCTGTTTACGATAAGAAAAACTTCAGAGGTATTTCAGAACGACACACAATTGTTTGAAAAAGGATAATGCTTCCGGCGTCGATCAATCCTATTCTGAGATGCACCATTATTTTATTTTCCATAGGTATTATATTATCACATTCGCTCACTGTTCGTAGGCATATTCGAGGCAATATGGCCTGATGTGTGAATTGCGAGGGGTCAGCTCGGAAGGGAGCCGACCAAGGATTTGATCATCGGGTGTGTGTTGACGGGGCAGCTTACCACTACACCATGTACAAAGCGTTCTTTCTATTAGGTTGTCCGGAAAGTTCTTAGCGTTTTGTGCACCTAATCTTTGTACATTCACTGCTGATTAAAAACTCATTCTGCCTTGCTTCTCAGTAGCACATCCTGTAGAGAATTTCTTGCGCTATCTGATGGTATAATTGCCGTTTCACCATTGCTTGATAAACCCTCTTTTTCAAGATTTTTCAAGCATGTGAAAAGAGCACTTCGGACGATTTTTTTCTTCGGCTATAAATTGGGGCAATCCGCAATCGAAACAGCTCAACAAATTAACCAGGTGTGGAGGCCCAATAGTGCTAGAGAAAGCACTGTGCCGCAATGGCTCAACAAATGTCGTTCTGGAAATTTCAGCCTTGAAGGTGAGCCTCATAGCGACATCGACCAAAGCAATTCTGACGAGGATTTTGAGGGGATTTCGGAGGCTGATCTATCCCAAACAGTTCGAGAGATAGCAGAAGAGCTAGGCGTTGCAAATCCACTGTTGCAGATGGTCTGGAACGCATTGGGAAGGTGAAAAAACTCGACAATTGGAGGTGCCCGCACACCAATCGGAGTGAGCCCGGGCCCAGGAATCGCACGATCTCGAGGTTCCTTCTTCACTGCTTTTGCGCAAAAGAATTGACCCGTTTTTGAACGGATTTGTCACCTGTGATGAAAAATGGATCATGTATGATAACAGGAGACGTTCCGGACAGTGGTTGGATTTGGAGGAACCACCGAGGTAATTTTCAAAGCGCCCGAAACCCTATCGCGGAAAAAAAACGTTCTGGTCAGGTTTGGTGTCATGAGCGGCTATGTTTGTAATCCAGTATACATTTTCATCACCTCGCAAGCCAAAGACCATCACAGTCCGAGGCATGGAAACAAAGGCAGATACCCTACTTGTGAACACAAGACAGCGCCAAGATGTACCCGAAAATATTGTCAGCTGCGCCAACACTTATCAAAAAGAAAAGGGGTGCCAGATTCTTTTGGCATGGACAACGCCCCGCCCAGCGTGACGGTTTGCACAAAATCACTACTCCATAAATTGATAACGAATTGGGAGTTGAAGTTCTACCTCACCCACCATATTCTCTAGACCTTTCACCAACCGACTGTCACCTTTTCAGACATTTTCAGAACTTTCCTGCTGAGAAATACTTCATCAAACAGGACCAGGCAAAAAAGACCTTCGCAGATTTCGTGGATTCTCGACCACCCAGTTTTTTCTCTTGATGGGATTTCTCGACTGCTGCCACATTGGCAAAAGTGTGCTGATTCGAATGGTGCTTATTTGGATTAAATCCGATGAGTGTTAAGAAAGTTATGATCGTTTAAAGTTAAACACCCACCGAATATATATGTCTAAGCAACTTTCCGGACAACCTAATAGGTCTGTATAATCCCTGATTTGTGCCGTCGCCACACCGATATGTGCAATTTGGACATTACCTGATATTGATAGCCCCTACATATGTCGATTTGGAACTCGATATCAGTCCATTTAAAGTGTTGTCTTGGATGACGAGACACCAGAATGGGGCAGAATGAGGAAAGCTATGGTGAAAGATAAATAGTCAAACCGGCTGGCAATGAATTTTAATGTGAATCATAAGGTTAGGCTGCGTTCATACTTTGCGGCAGCGTCCATCAGCGACCAATAGCCGTCCAGTCAGTGTTTCCGAGCGTGCATGGCAAGCGTCAGCGATTGAGAAGAGTTAGATATCAAGTAATTAGTGTCTGCCAGGTTGTCTTGCGGGTCTACAAGAAGGTTACCAGCGTCCCCCTCGAAGGCGTAAGGGAAGTAATAGGTACAATCTGCGTGTACGAGCATCTGCGCAGCGCTATACCAGCGTCCACCAACACTGGTGGTAGAGAGTATGCTGCATTGGAGGGTACCGGTGTCGGCTACACTCCTATCGCACTTTACTCTCTGCCAGGGGTCTGTCATCTCCTATCTCCCCATACTCAACCGGTGGTCTGCTACCCTTTTACCGCGTCATTCTTTTACGAGCCAGCAGCCTGCGTACCCCTCTCCTTTCTCCCATGCACTTCTCCATTCCTAGACGCTGTTAGACGCTGGTGGACACTAGCAGACGATGGCAGACGCTAGATCGGAAAATATACTTCCCTAGCCCTCAAGACGCTGGTGGAGGCTGGTAGACTCTGGCAGGGGTTGGTCCGATATCTGTAGTTTTCTCTAACCAGTATGACGCTGCACGACCCGCCCCCTCAGACGCTAGGAACGGTGGTGTATGCTGCCGCAAAGCATGAACGCAGCCTCAAAGATACGAAGGAAACGATGAAAAGGGGTTTCTTATTACTGCTTTCACTGATTGAAATTGCGCTGTAATCAAGTTGCTGAGTTGTAAATGGGACACTTCCTGTCACTGAGGAAAAATTTGCCGAATTCGACCCACCGCCTCGAGATTACCTCATCCTGTTACGAGCTCCCTTTTCGCGGCCCCCTTCCTACCTAGCATCTCTTTGAAATCTTCAACCTTTCACTAGTTTCATGAAATATATAATCTCGTCGAGAGGCAGTGGTATATGTAAAGCATATGATACATAGGCATATGATAGCATATGATAAAAGACGAGAAAAGTCAATCCAGGTCGGCTCCTGCTCAGGCAGTGTAGCCTTCTACCCTTCCGAGGACGCAAATTGGTACCAGATTAATCTGGGAGGATAAACACTGACTTGTACATCGGCTGGCCCCGCAAGTCATTGTATAGGCCACATCGCATTCAATAAGCCACTACGATTCTGAATGGAAGTGGAATGCATGTCGCATCCCGAAAATGGACAAATTAACGTGATTGGAGGCGAACACCCATGCTTTCATTACCCTGTGGCACTGCTTCATGCAAATGCACCAAGTTCACGCACGTGTGTCATAGTCGCAGCCTTTTTCAACGCCCCCCCCCACCTCTTACTCCTCTCTCCACCGTCTCAAGGTCCACGGTTGGACCTTGAGTTCACCCATCCATTACATTATTAACATTATTATTTCTACCATTATGAATGCAAGCAGAAAGCCTGAGGGATCAGGTACAACTCCGGTTTGCCTTCTTCTCTAGTTTGTTTAGCACACTGAAACAGCACAAAAATGAAGAATTCATCTTTATTAGAAGCATCTAAGTAGGTCACTCTTTCAACACCAGCTGAATGTGTGGAGGTGGGGTTGACGAGATTGAGCCATCTGCGTGCTTTTGTTCCTGGAAACGAAAAGAATTGATGAGTTAAGGCCGAGCCGTCGTAGACTCAGGAAAAAAATGAAAAAATCAAACGCGCACATTTGGCTTGAGTTCAGGCGAAGAATAAAGGCCAACATCAGATAGTTGGAATGATTCAATAATCAAAGCACCATTCTTCTCTACGTGTGCTTTGGACTGCGGCTTGACAGGCGTGTTATCCTAAAGTATCCTCAGGTTTTTGAAAGTACGTGAAAAAGTACTGGGACTGGTGGGGAAAACAAGATTCAATGAAGTCTTCGTGAGGCTCTTGTTCTGTTGGAAAAGAATTGCTACGAGCACTGGAGACCATGAAATGGTCACAGAACTGAAACCTTTCTCAAAAGCACTAATTAGTCAAACTATTGAGAAGGTGGAATGGTTAACAGGTTTCCTCTCTGCTCTTCAGACAAATACCATGTGAAGGTTGGCTTACCTCTTTGACGAATTGCGCGCATCGAGGTCCCTTCTCCGTGGGACCACAATACTTGATGAACTCATCACCATTTTTTGTCTGCCTCTTCCACGTTGTCACTCCTGATCCAAGGTTCAACTCAACACGTTCCCCTAACTGTAATTGAACTTTCCTTTATAACACTTTCGGCGACGAGCGGATGGGAGGGGGCATATTGCACATTTGCCACTTCTCATCGATGTGGCGAGCCATCTAGAAAGCCGTTTCATGAGCTCAGAGGGGTGAGCAGATTTGACCACGGTGGCTTCGCCCAGCTTCACAAGAATTCACAAGTTTCACCAGAGTGAGACTTGTAAGCCGGAACTAGAGAAGTAACAAAAGCGCAAAATGCCCTCCATCGCCGAACTGCCTCCCCCATATTCTATCCATCTGTGAATGTTGAAGTAAACCCACCTTTGCTCGTTGGATGGCGATTGCAGCAGAGGTAATGCCGATAGTGGCAATCAGGAGAGCAACTTTGGTCCACATTCCTCAGAAAAGCAATTTCAAGGCCTGAAAAAATATGAGGTCCCCCGCAGTAAGGTGAAGTGAATGGTTGCCATAAGATACGACAAACAAGTGGAATATCGTCGACAGAGGAAACAAATTGAAATTTCTGCCTCTCACGGAACACAATAGGAGATAGTCGTAGTTGGCAGGGGAATCCATGCAACCAGTGAGAGGTCCTGAGAAGTTTAGTGAATGAGGCTAACGTGACTGACCCACGGTGACATGGGTGGTTGTGAATGCGACGGGTATGTGACAAGACAATCAAAAGAGGGCGGTGGGCGTGGCAAGCGACGCCGCATCCGATAGACGAGTTGTTCCGCCTGGCCGTATGAATTGACTGTCGAAGAAACGGAAGAGCCCGAGCCTGTCATGAAACTTGCCTCCGTCCAAATTCGTACGAGTTTCGCATTTTCAGTCAATAAACCGATGCAGGTTAAGAATTTGCTGCGCGTCGCTGCACGACACGCTGATTGCAATAGTGCGACAAGCCACTACTATCTTGCCCGCCTCTCGGATACGACCACTTACTTGCGTGCACTCAGCGGCCACCTATCCTTGAGAGAGCACAATTCCAAACTGGGTGACACTTTTCGGAAAAAAAGAAATAGATATAATTAGTAAATGTTCGATTCTGAACTCTGAACGCGTCGGAGTATGGGTCTGCTTCCAACAAAAGACCGCGCAATCTAGACACGGCTGGAATAGGCAATTCTGCCTATTTTCATGTCTGGCACCACTTCAAGGCCTCGAAAAATTCATGGCTTGCTTGGCTCGACCACACTAACTGATATTCGCATCATACGAGTATTGAGGAGGTGAATCATAGCGTCATTCAGAGCATGCCAACCTTTTACCAGGAACGATTTTTGATCCTTTGGTGAATGCAGAAGTGTAACAATCTTTCCGTTACACTCCTCCATCCACCAAAGTCTTGCGGGTATATTGGAGAGCTACATACAGGTTTGTTACCTGTAAGCTGTTCCAGCGAGAACGATGCAAAAAATCAAGAGTTCTTCTTTCTGCGCTCTGGACTGTACCTCATGGGAAAGAGACATGAGTTATGCATTCCACTGGCATGAGAGGTATGTGTAATGACTTGCGGCCAGAGAGGTATGAGTCAGGAATCTCATTCTTCTGCATTGCTGACTCAAAGTCTCACGTTGAACTTCTGTCCAACTCAGCAACCAATTGGCCTGTCTCGTACTCCTGAGTGCCATTCAATCTGTCGTACATCATTGCCCAGAATTTGATTGTTTTGAACCACTATACAGACACTTTAGCCAAGAGACGTCAAAAACAGGTGGAGTTGGAAACGGGGTGTGCCAGAATACCTAACTGTGAAGAAAAGGCAGGGAAAAGCGTCGAACGCTTCAAATTAGTCCTCTTTATCACAGGCTAAAGGCAATGATGATTCGTGTGAATTTCGGGTGAAAGACCAGAAAGCAGCAACGAGAGAGCGTTGGGGGGGGGGTAAAAAAAATCGAGAAATAATAACGTGGAAGGAGCCATTGACGCCCTGAGAGGTCAGGTAAGCCGTCTTGCGCTTTAAGGCTTGTAGCTTACAATTTACTGGCGCAATTGGTACAAGTGGTCCGCTGCTGTCCACACTGTCTTTCTTTAATCGTCCATTCTTGTGAGCGTCACTTAGGCTCATTCAAGCGCATCAACTTGGGCTTGGGATACTGCCCCTCCTGCGGAAGAAGTGCAAAGCAGAATGTTTCCTTGCTTTCTGATTTGCATAGTATGAAGCGAATGTACAGGTGTGTCAGCCAAAAATTCTTATCAGAGAAGACAATGGCTGAAGGTGCGGTAAACGCGCAGCAACAATTTTAGAAGGAAAAGAATGCAAGTAGAACTGTCAAAGGGTCATAGCTAGAGGGTCGAAAAATCCCCAGAAACACTCTGAGCGACCCAGGAGAGCAAACCGTGAAAAAAGACTGGTTTTTTCCTCTCAAAATCTAAAAGCAGTGAAAAAATTGAAATGAATGTATTCATGTTGTGATGTTTATATGTTGATTTGAGGTTTATGCATAGTGCCCCATAAATATAGCAGAGAAATTCCAATGAAATTCGGTTCGACTTAATTTCGTGGTAAAAGTTTGTTCCATCAAAACCACACCCAACATTTTTGCAAGAACTAGTGCAGCTTCGGAATTATTTAGCGCACTAGCACAACAATACGAACTGGAACAGCTTTTTGAACGATTTCATTGCCTGTTGTGGCGAAATAAACGAAGCAAATGATTGATGAATTTGGGATAATACATTTCAACACATTCTTTTATATGTAACCGCATGCATATTCATGATACACGTGATGATGTTCAATCGGGAATTGACATCCATCCCAAGCAAGGCATTCCACCCTAGGCTACCGTATATCGGTGGAGAGGCTTCTCATCCAAACGACCATGTGAGCGGCATGCGAGAGTACCCATCCACGGACATTCTGTCTTTGCGTTTGTGACTCCTGACGGGTCGTCGTCATCGTCACACGAGCGGCATGTGCACCTTGGAGATCCCGAACTCGGATACATACTTTGAAAGTTTTTTATTTCTATGGCCAGTTTTAGCTGAGGTGCCATAGGGGGCAGAAGTTATTTAGTGTAGGGTTATTGCGTGTGAACCAG